TGTCGGGGGATTGTATGGCACACCATTATCATATGCATCATTTGCTGGTGGACAAGTAACAAACCTTGAAGCAATGTTAGATGATTTACAAACTTTGGGCATTACTTCAGCAAACAATAAGTTAGTACCAAAGGGTTTTTTGACTAAGACAAACATTGGTTTTCCATATAAAGAAGTTTATAGTTATAAAGGAGAAGGTGAAATAGTGATGGAATATGATTTTAGACCTGCAAAATATAGAATTTATTATGATGCCGAAAGTATCAGAGATCCAAGTAAATTATGGCTACAAGCTGTCGGTTTTATACAAGAACAATAGTTAGTTATAAATTAATTAATTAATTATTATTGTTATTGTGATTTACGCGCCCACGCCTTCTATATAAATAAATTTGACTTGTGTTACATGCTTGCTTGTATTTCTCAAAATAGTAAAATTTATTGATGATTATTTTTTTCCTTTTTAAAATAAAAAATAATAAGATAAAAAGCAAAGCTTTTAATAATTAAATTGTTTAGCTAATATATAATAAACGTACACATACACATATAATAGCATATAATATATATATATATATATATATATGGAACAAAAATTGATCGAGTTAGTGTCACTTTCTAAAAAAGCTTTACAAGTTGGAGAAAATTTATGTTCCAAAGCTGACAATCTTGTTAAAGAATGTAAAACCGATGTAGAAAATATCGAACAATTATATCCTAAACTTAAATTTATATGGAATGAATTGGTGGTTCAACTTAAGGTAGAACATTTTACATGTATAAATATTGTATAACGATATAGCATTTAGATATCATATTTAGTGTATTTAAATAATAACTAATCAATCGATCAATCAATCAATCAATCAATCAAACAATCAATCAATCATATTAATACCTTGATATACGTATACGCACATATATATAGACCATTGACAAATTTCGGCTAGTTGCAGTGAAACAAAATGGAATTTTTGGACAATTTTATTCTGTAGGTAAAACTTTTCAATTTATATTTTTTTGGGGGAGGAGAAGGATGGAAGAAGGGCGGTTAATTGGATTTATAATTGTGTAAAAAGATAAAGTTTAATGAAAGTTCATATTTACATATGTATTGGTAATATTATATATACACATGTATTTCTTTTAGAATAAAGAACAGGAATTAATAATGATTGTCGAAGAGTTGGAACACACATTAGAACAACTTCGTGGTAAACAGGTTGATTCAGCAATCCGAGAGAATGCAATATTAATGGAAAATCAAGCATTTATACGTGACAATAATAGCAGTGGTGGCATTGGTAGTATTGTTCTTGATGTAATAGGCGAAAAAGATAATAATAATTTAGATCAAAAAAAAAGAATGACATTATATGAATATATAGACGAGCATGGTGTGCATGAACTAAAAACGAAGACACAAGATGAAGTTTCAACCATCCAGGTTAATATTAATAATAGTTAATAATAATAACATCTAATAATAATAATAGTAGTAATAATACACTATTTTTCTTTATAATAGCAATTCTTTAATAGTAGTAAGTCAATACTTGATGAAATAAGTACACAACTTGAACGATTGCGTGAAATGTATGAAAGCAATACAATTTCACTTGAAGAATCTGGTGTGGAATTTTCATACGAGAAAAGTAATATTCAAGAACGAGAAACTCATTCCATGGCCGAGACATTAGTTTCCATAGCAAGGCATTATGATCAAGTAGCTGCTGCATTAAAGTATTATTATTATTATTATTATTATTGGGGACAAAGTCAAATATAATACATTAATAATAATAATATTTTATTCAAAATAGAACATACCAATCACACGCAGATATTGAACCTTTTTTGGACATTTCCGGTAAATTTTAAATAATGATAATAAGATATTACTATTATTATATAATCATAATTTAATTGTAATCATAATAAACAGTTCTTGAAAAGGATACAGATGAATTACCAACGATATTGGATGATCTTCAAGAAGGACTTCAAATGATAGAATCAACCAGGTTTAAAATTAGTTGCATATACATTACATATATTAACATTAATAATAATAATTATTATATTATGATATTAATTAGCCATATTTTAATATAATTAGCGAAGAAGTTCATATTAGAAATCAAATATATCAATCATCATATGAAGAAGCATTAAAATTATTTAGTGAATTAGAGAAATTTACAACAAAAATGGAAAATCTTTCCAATAAAATGAAAGAACTCGAGGTAAATACTAACAAATAACAATAATAATAAATTTATATTTATTTGTGTAAATTGTTTTTACATTAATATTATTAATTATAATATTGATTTATTTAGATGGAATTTGAGAAAAGTTCGCAGGTTGTTGATAAATATTTAGAAGAATTATGGAATTTGAATTCATGGTAAATAATTATAAAATAATTGTGTTACACGTATTTACATACGTAAATTCATTTAAAAATTTTGGGAAAAAAACAATTTTAGGTATAAAGAATTTTCTTTAGCATATGATCAATTAATAATGGAGATAGATAGAAGACATAGGGTGAAGGAACAGCATGAAAGATTAGCCGAAGAATTTTTAACAAAATTGGATGGATTATATGCTGGTAATCATAAATTATAATGCTAGTCATGATAATGATATTGTTATTATGACGATGATGATAATAATGTAATAATAATAATCATGTTGATATTTTGTAGAAGAACAACAACAACGTGATATATTTTTTCAAAATCATGGAAGATATCTTCCGGAAGATTTATGTCCACCAATTAATGTATTTAATCAATCAATCAATTAGTCTATTTATTGATTGATTGATCAATTAATTAATCACTCATTTTTTGAATGTTAATAACGTAGGAAAAACCAATTAAATATGAGGTTATTTCTCAAGACACAAAATTACCAATGTTATCTAGTAAAACATTAACAGAGGTAAAATAAATTTCGTTACTATTATATTTCACATTTTTTTTTTTACAAACATATTTTCTAATAATAACAAATAATAATTTGAAGGCTCGAGAAAATCTTTTAAAATATGGAGGAAAAGTTCCTTAATTTATCAATCAACCTATCTATCAAATCCTATTTATTGATTAGACTTAATATTAATAATAGCAACAATAATTTATTAAGATTATTAGTTTTTCTGTATAATATAATATAATAAAATATAAAATAGAATAATAATATTATACGGGTGATTTTACCACATATTTGGTATAAACATGGGTATATTTATTCATCGAGTGAGGCGAAATAAACCCGCAGAAATACTAACTATAATTAAAAGAATTATATATTTAAAAAAAATTAAAAAAAATCAAAATTCTAGTTTCTAATTGAATATTTTTATTATTTACCAACTCCTAAAACTCCAAGAGCAATGTTTCCTGCATATTTAATCCTTGGATTTAGTCCGATTAATTTCATCATTATATTGATATTATTATTTTCCTTTTTGGATGGTGATGACTTCTCGATAACATTATACAATAAATATGATCCCAATCCAATAAATGTAAATGATCCAACAAGCTTACAAGCTAAACAATTTCGATTTTTTCTAGAATCATCATTATTATTAACATTAACATTACTATTATTACTACCAATTTCTTCTAATGGCATAATTAATATTAAAATAAATTTTAAAAAAAATATAAAAAAATGATTGAGGAAATCAAAAAAAGTTTTTTTAATAATGTGATGACATCGAAGAACTTGGTTTAAATCAAACAATTTTATTATAATTATAACACAGGCCGGAGTGCCCGAGTGGTCCAAGGGGCTAGACTTAAGATCTAGTATGCGGAAGCATGCGTGGGTTCGAACCCCATCTCCGGCAGTTAAATATATTATTCATTTTTTATTTTTTATTTAATAAAAAAAAAGTGACCAATAATAAATCAATAGACATCCTGAACAAATTGCCTCTTTTATCTTTATTTACAATTTTCAATGAGGTATATCAGAGGCTTCGTTGCAATATTTTTTAATCCTTGACTATTTTTAAAATTATGGGTGAGTTAAGCTCGCAGAATTTACAAAATTATCAGCAATCTGCTGGTACGTTTCAGTAACTGTGTTTCCTTCATGACACAAAGATTTAGAACAAATCCTAACAAATATTACAATAGGAAAAAAGTATCTTCAACATATCAACCTCTCTCTTATTCTGAAAAGGTGATGTCGTTCTTCATCTTTGATAAAACGATACGACATAAAAATAAATTTAACAGACGCTTAGTGCAATTAGTCGATCTCCAAGACAGACAACTTTTCTGCACAGTTTAACTAACATTTTTGTTCAAATCATGAACAACAGAAGAGATTATTCACATCACACGATCCTATCCTGATTAGAAAAAACTACAACCTTTCATTCCCCTCAAACAATTCAGTTGCGTATCTTTGAATATTTATCAAGGGCCCGACTTGTCGTGAAGCGATTTCCAATAGACCTTTTGGCTTGTTTTATACTTTAAAACTTTAGGATTTCTCCATCCGTGTAACGTATATTGTAATGCAAGTCATCAGTTATTATCTTTATCATCTTCAGAACTACAATAATCAATCCCATCCATCATTTTCTCAACTAGCATTTTTTTGTTTAATTTCATAAAATTATTGTATAAACCACCTGATGTTAAAAAACGATTTGTTTAATTGTTTAATTCATTCTTTTAGTTGATTTGGTTTAATTCATTATATTCAGAAATCATGTAAAATAATTTTTTTTTTAAAAAAAATAAATTATCTTCACGTAGAAATCGCCAACTAATGCGTTCATAATTAAAATTGTCCAAATCAAACATAATATACAAAAGGTCAACACAATTTCAGATTTTTTACGCATCCTTACTCTGACTATACCAAAGAACATCTAAAGTTTAAAGGTTTGTTCAATAATAACACTTTACGTATTTACATGCTATTTTTGTATACATACTTTATATTACCACCAATCATCATTGAACATGCATAATAATTTGGGGCTTTGTGAACAAAAAGTCACAAGACGAGAACAGAACCCATTCGTGTTACCTGATAAGGGAATGTAAATAATATTAGGTAGTCTTTATTATTATTACAAAATTGATGATCATAGACATTTTTGCTGTTAGTTCAGACGCAGTTTCCCAAACCCGATTTTGTATTACGTCTCAAAGATACTTGTTTATAATTTAGGTTTAGGTGTTAAAGTTTAAATATCGATTAACTTGATAATAAACTTGATCATTTATTTCGATTGTTTCTTGATTTGTTTTATTTCTTGTTTGGCGTATTTTTAGAAAAACATTTAATTTGATTATTAATAAATAAATATTGTTCGACAATACGCAGAAATACGTACAATGATTAAAAATCGGTTAAAAATTATCAAGTTTCCCACAAAACTTCAAAATAAAAAATTTCAAAAAAAAAAAAACTTTTACAATGATTAAAAATAAAACATTGATAATTTTGTTCAATTTATTTTTTATTTTAACAAATTTTATTATTGTTAGTAATCAATTACCACAACCACTACAACAACAAGAGCTTATTCATCCGTTATTATATATCAATGATCAGTTAAATGATCAATTAATAAATGTAAAAGAAGAAGAGTCTCTGTCATTATTTAAACCAGGTAAACACTGCAAACCACGTCATCCACCATCACACCGCAAAAGTCATCGTGCCTACGCATTATTTACCAATCCACCCGATGTAATAAAAGGTGCTTTGTTGTTTTGGGAAACCTTGGAAAACGGTACATTTGTTGTTGGACAATTTAGTGAAGGCTTCTTGAAAGGAGAAGAGGAAGATTACACATTTAAAATTTATCAATCCAGTAAAGAGATATTTGATTTGAAACCGAAAAACGAATCATTCGATAAAATTTTTAAAGTTAGATCTAACAATAGTACCGATTCATTTCTCTTTAATGTTAATGAAACTTTGATAACTAGTGGTGATATTGTTGGTTCTTATTTGGTTATTGGTAAACCTGGAGCTTTACTTGGAAAAAGCAAAATTCATTATTTGCCACTTTAAAAAGTTCATAATAGTAATAATAATAGTTTTTGATTTTTTTTTTTCCATATTATGTAATTAATTATTATTTTACATGTTTGTATTTATAACACTTTATTAACAGTTGAATATATTACAATCGCTATGAGATTTTTAAAAAATTAAAGTTTTTTTGTTAGCAAAAAAAAAAAACTATTATAAATGATAATAAGTGATTGCGACTTACCAATAGTACTTGATATTAAAATTAAAAGGAATATAATAATGATTGAAACACAAAACAGTGTTTTTTTATCAAGTCTTTTATAAAAAGATGATATATTTTTTTCTATATCATTATTAATATTTCTCGTGGATGAAGTTGTTGAACCTTTTGTTGATTCATTATCATCGTTATTATCTTCTAATAAAGAAACCTTTGATGAAATATTATCATTATCATTATCTTTGTTATTATTATCCGTTAATGAAGAAAAATCTATTTCTAGTGGCGGAGGTAATTCTAATTTAAGGTATTGTTGTTGTTGATCATTATCTTTTGAATTTAATAACATTGAACGAGGTGGTGGTTCTGGTAATTTCCATTTGACGTGTAAACTTGATCTTTCTGTCATTATTATCTCTCTATTTTTTTTAAAAAAAGATTTTGAGGAAAATCCGAAAATGATGATGATTTATAAATAATCATCATAATTGACAATTATAATATTATCATTTATAAAAAGTAAAGACAAATATTTATACAATCTACTATAAATACTATATATTTACGTTACACTCACCATTGCGGCTTATCTTTTAACTTAAATAATCTATTAGGATAAAGCACTGCCCATCATCATCATCTAAAAAGAATTAATTAAAAATAAACTAAAACTTTTAAAACTAAAACGAACTAAGCAATCTCTCGACTCGTTAAAAAAGATTATGATCTATTTATTACATGTAAGCCATGTAACTTACAACTGCTTTTGCAAGAGCAAATTTTAAAATATTCATATTTTGATGATTCTTTTGCTGCAAATTCGTGTAATGATCCAAAGGATTTAGTTAAATTTCTGACTGGCAACACGAGTTCCTAATGCAATTTTTAACACTATTGATCAGTTAATTCTAGTGATGTTAGCCGGCTAAGCCGAACAACTCTTATAGTCGGTTAAGAACTTGAATAAATCCCAATGATGAAAAACTTTTCAGATGGTACCAAGCTCACCGGTATTATTACTACTACTACTATCGTTATTATTACTATTGTTATTACTGTTATTTACTATTGTTATTATAATATACTGCCATTATTACTATTTAAGAGTTTTGAATAAAGTTTATTCGAATTATTTGTTTTATTCGTTATGAATTTAAGTATTCGAATTACATTGAAAGTTTACTCGAATAAAAATAAAAATAATTAATAATAATAATAATTCGAATAAAAATTTGTATTAATAGAAATTCTGTTACTTTTATCCTGCTACGAGTATTATAACCTTTTTTGAGCAATATATGTTTTTTTGTTATTCTAAGTAATGTAGATGGACCCATCTCAACCAAGTGTCCATGCCACTGAGTTCTGCACTAAAATTCCAGACGTAAAAATGAATGTCAAGAGAAATTTTTTTTAGCTGGCTCACATCACTAGTTAATTCTTCTTCTACAAGCAATCCTCCTTCGACGGCAATTTAGGATGTCTATTCATCCGAAGACAAAGCACAGCAGGTATAAAGTTGTAATCCTT